GTCTCAAAACCTGCATCGCGAACTCGGACAGTCCGGGAGGCCAAAACCGACCCTTGCGCCAGGCTTCTCACCCGCACCAAGCCATGGCAACACATCACCCCCACCCTCATCACCCCCACCCTCATCCACCTCCACTGGCTGCCGTTCAAGTCCCCGATTCAGTACAAAACACTCCTCCTCACGTACAAGTCCCTCCATACCCTCGCCCCCCAGTACTTATCGGACCTCCTCCATCCCTACACCCCTTCTCGGAGTCTGCGGTCCTCAGACACAGGCCTGCACTCCATCCCCCGCTCTCGCCTCCGAACTGTTGGTGACAGGGCGTTCAGTGCTGCGGCCCCCACCCTCTGGAATGCACTGCCTCCGTGGACATCTTCAAATCCTCATTAAAAACACACCTGTTCCCCCCGGCTTCCTTTATGTCTTGTTTGCCCTTTGATTGTCTGTTTGTTTTGTTTGTCCACCATGGACAGCGACATTGGGTCCCTTGAAAGGCGCTTATTATTATTATTAACTCCATTAATCCAGTTTGTGTTGGAACTACTTCTTGTTGAACATGCTGCAGTTGCTGCGGATAAGAAATATTGCCACCATGAAGTGAACAGAGTGCCTTTACTTGTTTATACATATAATATAACTTCGTATTATATTGCATACATTTACACAAACACCTGTCGTCCAGAGAATCTGACATATTGTATATTATGTTATATTTGCATTGTTGTATGTCTTAAACTAGCTTTTATACAAACTACTTCTTGTTCGACATGGTGCAGTTATGGCGGATGGATACACGTTCAAGAAATAGTGCCACCATGCAACAAAGTGCCTTTACTTGTTTCTCATTACTTGTCTACATATAATATAACTTTGTATTAGTATGCACACACATTTACATAAACACCTGTCCTCCAGAGAATCTAAAATGTATATCATGTTATATTTATCTCTTATATTTGCAATGTTGTATGTCTTAAACTAGCTTTTTTATAAACACTGTTTAACTTCCTAAATCCAGTTTGTGTTGGGACTACTTCTTGTTCAACATGGTGCAGCTGTGGCGGATGGATATACGTTCAAGAAATAGTGCACATTTACATGTTTCTTCAATATAACTTTGTATTAGTATCCATATACATTTGCTATATTTCTTTACAGTACACCTTTCCTATATTCAGTTTGTGTTGGCACTACTCGTTGTACATGGTGCAGTCTTGGCAACCTTTAACCACACACACACACCTTCAAAGTGTTCAAACACACTGATCCAAACATCAATGGAGAGACACGTCACACACACACGTCTCTCTTTCACCCAAAGTGTGACCTACTGGGCCCGGACCTCTGGCATTTACACACTCCAGATACACAGATACACAGATACACACACACACACACACACACACACACACACAC